CCCCCCCCCCCCCCCCCCCAATACACGGAACAGACTAACACAATTAACACAACGGCTTCTTTGGCTTCCACGGCGAGGGATGCCTCTCTAGCTAAACTACATGGCTGGGTTGCGTCCCACCGGGTGCTCTTGGAAAGAGCCCCACGCCACCCTCAGACCACAAACTGCGAGCAACCCCCCCCCCTCCTGCTTCGGCCTGGCTCAGCCTCTTCTCACGGCCCACATGCGATCGAAGCCAATAAAGTCCTGGCTATACAGCCGAGACGCCGCTTCGATCGACCGAAGGTGGCTCGCTCTCTTGGCCTCCATTTCAAACGCCTCTCTTTCCCCCACCCCACTCCAGTAGCACGAGGGGGGTGGGAACTCCCAGGATCTACCGACGGAGCTCCTTGTTTTAAGACCCTCATCTTTCGCTCAGTCGTTTAAAGGGCTCCTGATAATTTGAGGCAGGGGGAGAATAGATCGCGAAGAGGCCTCTCGTCAGGCGCAGCTTTCAAACTTTATTTCAAAGTTTATTCGGAAGCAAAGCCCCTACCTGCCTTGGAGATTTTAACCAGAGAGGTGTGAAATTCAGTTGTTTTTGGGGTGCGTGTGGAAGACGGAGGGGGATATATAGGTCACACACCCCACCTTCTGTAAGTGCCTCTAAGCAAACCAAGCTAATTCCGAAGTGAACTGGCAGAGAACCTCAGCTTTTCATGGAAGGCAAAGTTACAGAGAAATAAGTTTTGCGGTTACCTGGGCTTTAAGGAATTGCAGAGTTTTTACATAGGCAGGCTCACATAAAGGCACAGATGTAGAAACTGAAATGGGAAGGAGAGAGAAAGGACAGAAAAAGAAAGAAGGAAGGAAAGAAAGAGGAAACAAAGAGAAAAAAGAAAGAAGAAAAACAGAAAGGAAAGGAACAGCCAAAAGAGAGATACAAAGAAATACAAAGAGGGAGAAAGAAGAAAAACAGAGAAAGACAAAGAGAAAGAAGGAGACAAAGAAAAAAAAAAAGAGAGAGAGAGAGAGAGAGAGAGAGAGAGAGAGAGAGAGAGAGAGAGAGAGAGAGAGTTACCCAACTTTTTAAAAGAATAAATCTGAAAAGTTAACCCCAAAAAACTAAAAGCAGAACCGGTCTGGATTATCTAACACTCCCCGCCGCCTCGTCAAGAGTACATAAATATTTGTCAACGAAATTTCTTCTCCATAAGATTCTCCCTTTTTCCGGCCGCCTTGTCTCAACTGCGAGGCTCAAGAAGCAGAACATAAAATATAGGTTTCCTCTCTCGCTTTCCCAAGGAGGCGGGCGGCGAAGGCGTGGGCTACAAGGCCACGGGGAAAAAAAAAATCCGCTGCTTGGTTTTTAGAACGATTCTAACCAGAATTTCGACCGTCCCGCTTTTTCCCGGCCCCTCAAAAAAGCGTCGGTGTGGATCCGAAGGGCGCGCGCAATTCAGTGGAGGATGGAACCAGGGATGGGGTGGAGGGGAAGATTTAATATTATTATTTTCTCTGATATTTACAAGCGTTGTCCGAGTCTTCACGATATACCCAATATTTTTCTCCCCTCCTCCAAGATGGGACTTGCTCGAACCTGGCGCTGATCCAGAAGCCGGGTTTAAAGGTTGTGTGAACGGTCCGTTCCTTCCTTGGGGTTGACCCTCCAGAGTTTTGCGGAAAGGGGCCGAAACTCCGCTCTTGACTCCCGCAAGATTTACAACCCTCTTTTCTCCGCCCCTGCTTGGCGGAGGCTCGTGAGCTGTATAAATATTTTCCCTTAATCATAAATACAGATGAAGAGAAAGAGGAGAGGCCGGATAGAAGGTTGAAGTTATTTTGATTTCTATTCCCCGGTAGAATTTAAAAAAAAAAAAAAAAAACCTGCTAGTAAATTAACTGTTGAACTGCCTCGATTAACTTTGTAGCTCTGTCCAGACCCCTGTCGGGTTTTACTGTTGTTGTTTTTTAGAATCCTTTTATATACACAGACCAAACTTGCAAAAAGTTAAGACTGGGAAATTTTGATTTGAGCTTTGAATAGTGCTTGTCTTCGTTTTTTTGCAATGCAAAAGGCTTGTGGGGGGGGGGGGAACCACAGGGGTGAGTGGGGGCAAGAGTTTTGGAAAGGGCAGGAGAAGATCAACAAGTAATGGAGACAAATCGGTTTTTTTGTGTGTGACCCCATTGACGTCAATGAGCCGGCCACTTTCCTCTACCCAGCAAGTAAATGTGGTTTAAACATAGGCAGACCCGCTTGCCCCTTGAAAATCTGAGTGAAACTTGCACCCGATATAAGCCCTTTCAAGCTTCATTGGCGTCAGTAGGATTTACTTCTGAGTAAACACAGGTCTGATTGTAGTGGCACCACCTCCGCTGCTTTCAGGTCCACTTTAAATACTTTGGAGGAGGGGGAAAATTTATCTTAGCTCCCTTCCAAAAAAGCAAAGGAATCCAGGTTCAAAAAGATTGGTGGAAACGTTCTGGACACAGGTCCCCTCGAGGTACATCAGTTAATCCTCAAAGATGCAGCCATGAAAAGAAAATACAGTAGGTTGAAATTGCAACTTTAAAAGCAACTTTCTTTTGAGTTAGGAAGGGCGGGGGAGAGATTACAGGAAAGTGGGAAAGCCTTTGAACCATTTCCACAAATCTATTTATTTCTGTTTTGGTTTCAACAATGCTCGGCACTAGATTTTGAACCTGTAAAAATATCGGACTCAATATTCCAAGAATAATAATAATAATAACCTGCCACAGAATATCCCAGATTTAAACAACTGTCAATAAGGGGGGGAAAATGTCTGGATAATGGTTGTGGCAGTACCTTGGAGACAGCAGAAGAGAAAGAACCAGGGAAAAGTCACAAAATATACAAAGAGCTGCGAATAGAAGTGGAAGGACTGTGGCAAAACAAAGCAAAGATAGACCCAATAGGGATAAGCAACTTGGGTTGCGACCCCAAAATATCTGGAGCAGCAACTGAACACTATCCGGCATTGACAAAATCCCCATCGGTCAATTGCAAAGGGCATCTTTAGTCCCCGAACAGCTTAAATCCTCAAATTTCTAACACCTTCAAATATTCACATCTGCCTATCTTAGGTCCTTGGGAAGGACTGGTGAACAAAAATGCCAAATCCAGACTAAACATCTGGCTGACCATGCAACCAACCATAATATGGGGCAATAGGGGGGGGGGGGTGAGAATAGCAATGGTTTTCTTTTTTCTTTTTTGTCTTTTTAAATGAGCACAACTCCCAGATTTTTCTCCCCGCTTCCCTCTTCACAAATCTACTTGAGAAGTGTGTCGGTATTTAATTTACATATTTATTTAATCATTTCTACCAGGGGTAGAATCAGGGAGCATCCAGCGATGTCCAGCCATTGTACAGTCTTTCCCCAATTGTTCTGCATTTTGCATGCTTCCCCCTTCCCTCCCCTCCCAAATCAACAAAACGACCCCTTTCTCTTTATAATGGCACAGTAAAACAAAAAGAAAAAAGAAAAGAAACATCGGAAATGTAAACATGATCTTCCCCTGATGGATTTTTGCTTGCCATCCCTACCCCTCCCCCCACCTTTTTTTAAAGTTGTAACTCTTCACAACAGAACCTGACTTTGAAATAAAAATGAGTTTTAAAAAAACAAAACCAAACCAGAAAGACAACTGCAGTCTATATTTACAGACATATGTACAATATCAATAAATTAAATTTTAATTTCGAGTATTCATAGGCCAGGTATTTACAAGTCATCCATTAATTACATAAATACTTTATCAATAGTGTCCACTGTTGTCGTTGGTTTTTTTTTCCCCTTCTCCTTATTACATTTATAAACCTTGTTATTGCATATACAGTGAAAGGAAAAAAAAAGCATTGAAAACAAAACTAGGAAACGGAGATGGGGGCGTCATTTTAAAACAAACCAGCAAAATTATAATGCTCCCCCTTCTAACTACATTTTCAATTGCTCCTATCAGAAAAAGAAACCAAAAAATGTAAAGAAATATGTATACATATATATATGTATATATGTATCAGAATACATACATACACACACATAAATGTATGTGTAAAGCTATACATACATACATACATATGTACACACGCATACATATTTATATATGTATTATATATGTGTGTATGTATGTGTGTGTGTGTGTGTATACACACACACACATGTATGTATATGTATGCACACATATACACACATAAGTACATACATACACACACATTTATATATGTATTATATATCTGTGTATGTATGTAGCTGTATACACACATGTATGTATATGTATATATATACACACACACACACACATATACACACATAAGTACATACATACACACATACATACACACATATTTAATGCTCTGGGGACCTTAAGCAAGCATTTATGGAGTCAAGGATTTCACAAAATAAAGAGATTTGGAACGAACCATGCAAAATTAAACGAACTATAGCCGCAGCGGCCCCCCTTCCACGACCCTCCCCCCCAAAATATTAAAAGGATCGGGCTTCTCTCCTTTTTTCCACCCTTTCAGCTTGATTTTTGAAGGAACTGCTATGCAAAAAAAAAAAAGCAAATTCGCCCTGGGGCGGGGGGGGGGGCACAAAAGAGGCCACCCATTTCTCTTCACATCTCTGCTTTGATCTGTAAAGGGAGGCAGGAACAAGCCCCCTCCCCAAAAAAAGGAAAAAAGGAAAGAAAAAAAGAAGGAAAGGGAAAAAAGAAGGAAAGGAAAAAAGAAGGAAAGGGAAAGGAAAAAAAGAAGGAAAGGAAAAAAGGAAAGGAAAAAAGAAGGAAAGGAACAAAGAAGGAAAGAAAAAAGGAAAGGAAAAAAAGGAAAGGAAAAAAGAAGGAAAGGAAAAAGGAAAGGAAAAAAAGAAGGAAAGGAAAAAGAAGGAAAGGAAAAAGAAGGAAAGAAAAAAAAGGAAAGGAAAAAGAAGGAAAGGAAAAAAGAAGGAAAGAAAAAAGGAAAGAAAAAAGGAAAGGAAAGAAAAAAGAAGGAAAGGGGGAAAAAGGAAAGCGGGGAGGGGGAGGGGAGGAAGGGGAGAGGAGGACCCCAGAATTCACACCTGCCTCCAGTGGACAAAACAGTGGTTCATAGCAGCTTCCAGCAGCGCCCCCCCCCCCCCCCCCCCCCCCCCCCCCCCCCCCCCCCCCCCCC